CGTTTCAAAAAAGAGAGCGATCGAGCGACCGCTTTTTGAAGGTCGCCGTCTATTGTGAATGAATCAAAAAGTTTTTGAGAGCGATGAAAGTGTATCGCAAAGCTTTGATGCTAAATGGATTATGTGTTACGGAACTTGTTCTGTTTGTTGTTCGATCCGTTCGTTGGCAATGTGCTATTGTTCGGATCGCTTTTTGAAGTTCTTGCGATCAGTTGAAGTCGATTCTCGATTACAATAAATTTTTGCTCATTTCATTTTTTATGACCAACCGGTATTCATAGACAATATGCCGTTAACATACTTTGGGAGTGACTCAGAAGCAGCCCAGGCCCGTTTTGAACACCTCAAGCCCATTTTCATGGTCTGAACCATCAGGAACTCATATAGGAACATGATAATGACAAACCCGAAGTCAGGTATTACAAGATCATATATCTTATATGGTTACGTATCCATTTCCCTAAGTGTATATCTTTTTTCCATTGAAAGCTGTTCCTACTGATAGAATTTCCGAGTTTTCTGAATCCTTTAATTTGAATCATTTTCTGAACCATATTCATAAGGATCACCCGCGCATTGTCAAGATCTAATTAAAGTTCTTCTACACTGCATAGTTTCCGACAGTCGTCCAGCGCTACTGATACTTTTTGAATTCAATTACCTGAGACTGCTGATAGAAGTTCATCAATATTTATTAGATGAAATAAAATGTAATTGCAATATATGTATAATATCACACAACTTCGCACCTATGCAGTCTAGAATGCGAGTATTAAAATGATTTTAACGCCATAACGCTTACCACTTGAGTAGCTAAGAGCGAATGCGTTAACCGAATTATCCTCAGAAATTTTTCCGCTTGTATGGTTACATTGGCACTAATAACCGCTAAATTTGTACTGCTCCAGTTGATTTTATTATCAGCAAAGCATTCAAACACATTCGCTGCTCTCTCATATTGTTCTGTTTTCTCGTGAAACCCCTCCCCGAGCAATCGAAAACTTACCGCAGAGCATTCGATCCCTCGAAAAGGCGGATCTCTGACGGAACCACGCCCTAACCTCACCCTCACAACTCGTAATTTGCTGCAATGAATGTGAGGAGTAAATGAATGAATTACTGCGGATCACACAAATCGACAGTTATTTTACTGCACATGCCAGTATTGCAGGATAAATCCTTCGACTGATTAAATCAGTGATATGATAATATTAATTCGATTGATCTGACGGATCAATTTCCCATCATGTTGTCTTCTTTTATAATTCCTCACTCGATATTGCCTTCATTTGTTCAATTACAACTCTGAAGGAACCTAATTGAGATCTTCTGGCTCATGTTCCATTCCGTACCAAATTACCAACACCTATAATGATCACCTTTCTCAGTTCAGTTCGCGGAATTCAATTCCGAAACGCGTCGTCACGTCAACATCGCGATTTTTTCCTTCGTTCTGATACTTTATTAGTTCGTTTAAAAGTAAATTGTAGACAACGGTTAATGATCATTTCATAGTCGTTTTTTTAAGCACTTGGAGCAGTTAGGTTGAAAATTTAGCGCAAAACAGCAGAATCGCTCCATAGAATTAGTATAGCGAGCAAGTCGGCGCGTTAGGCTAACAATATTCATTCGAATCACTCATTAAAATCGCATTAATTTCTACTTTATGGCGAATATTTGAGAAACGATTGTAAATACGATACGAGCACCATGAAGTCAACTCGTTTTTCGATGTTTTATGAGCATCTCCAGTGAGAGTTAACATCATCGTGATCATTTAAAGAAGTCAAAATCGCATGCCATTCATCTTCTCGCTTCACGATGAATCATTCAAACAAGCGCTACCGTATTATTTATAACTATTCAACAACAGAACGTTACTTCTATCTGTGTTTGTATCATTGCTACAAGTGCATGTGCATGCGATTCCAATGAATAAGTCACCAAAGATCCGAGTTTCTGATAATAATTTTGTTCATTCCGTTCTTTAAGAAGAAATTGTTTTCGTTATCGGCGATTTCATCCAATGCATTCTGATTCCGATGAGTTCTAAAAAAGAAGCCGAATTGCTCTGCAAATTTTATGATTCGCTTATGCTAATAACTCACAAATGTTCCTGTTGACCGAAGTTCTTTCTCATTTTTCGTCGATGTATTTCTCAAGGAAAACGATGACGATAATTTCAGGAACTAAAATTTTCCAGACGAACCAAGATGCGATTCATTATCGCTGTCATACAAATATTCTCTTGGATCAGCATTGTTTCATCGGATGATATATTCTGGTTGAGTGTCGAACTGATGAACATTGAATGGCGAAAAGGTTGTTTGACAACGGCTGGATGTGCTGAGCCACGTTTTAAAATGATTGAAACGAATGCGATCAACAGTGAGAAGCTGTCGATCAGTTGGGCGATTACCGAGGATCTTGTGCAGGTGAGCTATTTATGAATATTACCTCGTCTCGAGTGAGTATTTGCTTTACAGTATGATGGAAGTTTTACAGCTTACCGTAAGGTGAGCTATAATGCTACACTGCTATTCGCTCGCCGTAAAATAACACAACTGACAATATTGGCCATGAAATAAGCTGTTTTTATAGGTGTAGTACTAGGTTGGTTTCGAAGTATTACACAATTTAAGAGGTCAGAGTACTTACTTCCTGGCTGTAGTGCGACAGCTGATAGGCAATTAATTGCCACAATTGGTACAAAAGAAGTGATTTGCACTGGAGAACAATTTTATTAGCCTATTACAACTGTTCCGTGAACTGTTTCGATGTCGAAGCGGATCACTTTATGACTGTTTGTACGGTAGTGCCGAGAGTTCTGAACTTTTTGAACGTTGCATCTTTGCATTCTCGTTTGGGACTTAATCCAAAAGTATTACCATTATCTTCATAATGAAGTCTCATCAAAACTTCATAAAGTTCTCATTAGATCTTAGATTTTGCAATGTACAACACATTAACGAAACAATAGAATAATGCGATTATATTTGTATGTACGGTCGACGGATGCTTTGTTGTTGTTTTAAAGCGTATTTAAATCAGCGGGATGCGACCACGGCAGCAACGTTGGCCAAGGCCGACCAATGAAAAATACCGCAAAGGGTAATCTGATGACACCTTTCAATTAGTCTCATCACCGTTACTTCTGCATACACGCATTACCAACCTATCATAAAAGCTGTCCAGAGATTCAGTGAATTAATTATCGTATTAGTAAAATCAGTCGCAGAAGCGCATTTGATCATGTTCTCCTTCCAGTTGAATAAATCAGTCCCCTCAACTGTTAATGCACTCATCATCACCATTAACTTTTGCTAGTATATCAGCCGTAGTTGTCTAATTTCATGCGAACCTCCATTCCATTCAAGCCATTTCAAGAATAAACATTTTCGAAAGGTAGCGACATTTTCAAAGGTAACGACATCCAAACAGTGACATTTTCAAAAGACAAAACAAAAATTCTCGCTGTTAGTAATCAACCAGTTCCAAATTTACCATCCTTTGTTTTGAGTAGAATTTTAGAGAATGTTATTTTAGTTCCAGTGAAACTGAGCATTTTTATATAGTGTCGTCTATCAACCCTCCTCGCTTGTACATAGTGAATAATTCAATTACTCAACAGCAACTTATGACGAAATTATCGCATAACTGGTATCGGTCACGTTCTTTGCAATACTTTTTCACTTAATTATATCCATCATTTTGTTGTCCGTGCTGTGCTAAAAATTCGTGTTATTTGCAAAAAACAATTTCATGCTGATTCCTGAAAAAACACACGAAGATTAGCCTCACTAATGCATCGTGCAGACATTTCGAAGAACTTGTTATTGGTGTGTTTCACTTANCATCGATTGGCAGTGGAATGTGGCCATATTCAAATTATCTGATCGCTACTCTTCGCATTGAACAGTGCACAGCTTGGTTTTCACTCAAAATATCATTAATCATGTAACACTTTCACTAATGTATCTGAACAGTACAATAAATATTGTTCTAATGGCAAGCAGCTGTCTTCTAACGCAGCGTATTGTTTCATATGGAATAATTATTTTGTTCGAATCAACATGAAATCGCTAAGGAACACGATCAGTCTCATGTCAGAACACAAATTCATTCTCAAATCGTTTATCATCATATCGTCACAAATGTTGTGGCTTATTATCTCGGATAAGGTCAGCATTTTGGATGTAAACCCCCCGGTGAGCTGGTTCACGAGTAACGCTATCGTCACAGACAGTAGTGAATTGCTGTTGAATGCAATTGTTATGCAAATACTTATGTTATACAACTGTAAAATATTGTCACATTCACATAAACATTCACGAAAATATTCTGATTAAACCAGATATTCTGAATGAAAATTGATCATCAAATTCAAGACACTTCAGAATCATTTATGTGTTAGGGCCTGTCGCTCAATTTTACAACTTTTCTTTGAGGAGTTATCCTTTGCCACTTAATTTATGTTTACATTTTCTTATTTTCACAAGAGCCATCGAGATGGCACTTGTGAAAATAAGAAGATGTAAGCTCTCAGAATGTCGTGATCTCCGATTGATCAAAGCTTCGCTGCGCCACTTAATTCGCTACCCAACCTTCATTTGCTAATACAATTTGATCGGCCATTTTAAATTCAATGGAGAAATCAAATTAAATATATTCGCCTCAATAAGTAGCGTCAAATATTTAAAACCTTCAATAAATGACTTGTCTCTATTTTTATCATCTCTGAATTTCTTAATCGATAAAAATTGATGGATGAGGTTACTCTTGTCGCTATTGCATGAACGGCTGGTAGTTATCAGATCTTACAGATAATAGACTATTTCAAATTCATCACTCGAAATCGTTTCTTTCCATGTTCGAATGTGAATGAATGAATGAGAAAAAGCTTTCTGATTTTGTAAATTATCTATCTCAATAGCAATCAATCATTTTTATCAACTTATCGTCTAACTCTGCCCAGATTGTTGCCGTCATAAAATGATCACTATGTGACAGTTTTGATGTCCTCAATAAAGAGCCCTCAGAACACAAGCACATGAACCAGCGTTTAATGTTTAAGAGAACAATTCCAGCACTCATGAAACAACGAGTGAATGGGGTCATTATGATAGTTACATCTAACGACTGTATCAATATTTACACAGATAAGAGCGCCACATCATTTATTCTATTATTTGCACACAAACTTATATAATTGTTATCATTTTTGTGCAAACTCCTAAATGAGACGATGAGCAGCACTCGACTGGATGTCTTGAAATGATGATTACATGCAGTAAATGTCATCGATGTGTCATCGTGGCATATTCGAACCGAAATTCTTTTCATTAAATAATTTCTGTTCGTATTTACTCATTATCTCGTCCATTCTCACTCTACCACTTCACAACAATTATTTGCTCTTGCTTTTTTCCCATTCAATGGAACAATTCATTAATCTCATTTATGTGCGCTTTTCTCATTCATTTTCTTCATTTTGTTTGATGAACACTGCTAGACAAGGGATGGATAAGAGGATGCATGTCTGAACATCTGAATTGATGTTTATCAAGTCTTGTTACATTTTGGTGTGTTCGAATGAAACTTCACCCCCACGATGGATGGTAAATGAAAACGGAAAATTTAATAGAAATGTCAATCAATCAACTATTTTCAGTGTACTTCGTTCATTCATCACCTCAACCAACCGTAATTTTCACTCAACTTCACAGTTCATCAATGTTATTTAGCTTGGTCTGCCATAAAAATCTAAATTCAACTAATGAAATTTCTCCTACAACAGTGCAAANGAAAATGACAATTTTTTGACAAAATGACAATTGACAATTTTCAGGATCGTTCTCGAGCATTCGTGACACACTGGAAGCATGGACAGCCATCAGATGTGACGTTGGGATGTGAGGTGTCCGGGGTGGATCCAACCTATGGTTTCACACGAACTTGTGATTCGACTACAAACGTTCGAATGTTTCAGAAGACAGTTGATGAGGAATTTGTAAGTTCGTTCTTTTCAATGATGTATGTGTTGAGAGTGTTCGTTCAATAGCCACACAACAGCATCACTAATAGATTATGCATGAAATTGAGAATATGCAGCGAGACTGACAATGAATATAAAGAAAAATTCAAAATCCGCATGGAACTTTCATTAAGCTTAATGACTTTATGAGAGTAGACATTGTGGTTATACGATATGAATATTGGCTTTGCAGTGCGCAGATGTGTGGTTGTTTGTACGCATTGAAATGTGTTATGCTAAGAGTGCGGTTGCCTCAATTGAACGATCCGATCGTTTATATAATTCATCCTCTCAATAATGAGATTAACTCACTCACTTCTATAAACATCATCACCCAAACTAAGCTGCTAGTCTAAGTGTCAAATATCGGCGCATCATCAAATCAAATTTCAACTATAGCTGAATGGGCAAACCATAAATTCGCTCGAGCACAGACCATGTTGCATGCAACCCAAATCGATCAGTTTCTATTCATGATCGACGACGACACATCAAACACTTCAGAAATGGCTTGAATACGATACTGATAAATGTCTATGACAGAGATCACTCTCGCAACTTTTAAAGTTTAGAAAACAGTGAATTTGATTTCGGGATCGAGGCCACCAAAACATTCATGTTACTGATTTCAGTTGTTGAATCGGGTCGGTGAGATGGAGTTGCCTGTAGTTGACGAAAGTGGTAAAATGTTAGTGGAGATGCGGGGCAAATGCTTTAATGCGACGTTGGCGATTGAGAAACACGACAAACGATGTCCTTGGTGTGTGGAGCACACCGAAGTGGCTGTGGTTGGACATCAAGTGAGCATTTTCTTATTGAGTTGTTTTTGGAATTAGGACATTTTCATCGCACAAATCAATTTTTCGTCACATCATCAACGGACTGAAATTAAATTTGGTGCACTACTGAAGTTAAGCGGAAAGCAAAGAAATTCGTTTTGGTCATTCATGAAATCGCCATTCACATTGAGTGATTCGAGTGAATAGATCGCCGTGATAGGATCATAAATGTTCTTTCTGCAATCCTTTGAATTTGTTTACTCAACAAATGACTGATTTTATTGAATTCAAATGCAAAATTTTCCGTCAATTTAATTTTGATTGCTACTTTTTGGTCGTAGTAAATTTCATCGTACTTAGAAACCTCTTCCGTAAACATTTTTTTGCAAAATAGTTGAAACTGCAGTTTCTGCTAATGTTTCGTTGGAACACCTGAATTTGAGGGGAGGGACGATAATATTCATAGAGACGAATCAGTTGAATCTGTTTCTCAAGCCGATATAATTGAGTCCAATCAGATCAAATTGGTCACTTTGCAATTGATGGTTTCAAGAAATATTAATTCACCACAAAAAAACTCCAATTTTATGATGTTTTCCGCATTTTTAATAACTATCAGCCGAATTTCCACTCGTTCTTCACATACGATTTCAAATTCTTTTCCTACTTATCACTTTCATATCAATTATTCATACTATTCATCATAGCATTTCACTTCAATGAGTGATTTATATCAATTTGGATATAACACACGACTAAACGAATAATTTTCAGTTACCAGATGATGATCCATCATCAGAATTTATGCGATACTTTGGGATGGCTGACCAGCTGGTGTACATCACAGTGATTGTTTTGACTGTGATCGCAGTGGCAAGTTCGGGGGCATTTGCATGCCTTTTGATAGCATATTTACGTCAGAAGAGGAATTCAGAGGAACTGAGCAGCGTGAATGTGAAGAGCAAGGCACGTTTCGGGGTCTATCACGACAATTGTCATCGTGTGCATGTGGAATCGTTGCATGGCTCCGATGATAGTACTAGTAGCAGGTTCTTTTGCTTGTTCTGCTTATACGCTTCTTTTTTTTNTTTTTTTTAAATCTTCAATTCACAAATTTATAACAGTATTGATGACATACCTTCGACTGTACGGATCCCAACTAACATCCGAATTGTAATAATTCGACGATTTCTCAAGCGTATGATTGGTACTGCGGTTAGATAGCTAGTCATGCTGAGTGGATCAATTTAGATCGTGTATAGTTGTAGATAAAGTATGGAACTTAATAGGAACGCATGCTGAATTCAGGAGTAGTGATAACAGCCGGATGAAAGGCTGTTTTATGAATTAGGTTATTTGGATTTCATACGAATATGGTGATTATCATATCAGTTGGTATAAATTATCAGTTGCCAGCTATTTTTTGCTTTTGTGACGTGCTTCATATAGTGGCTGCCTACTTCTACTGTATCAGTATGATTCTAAGATCTGGAAACCTCACATTAAGATCTCGCATTTGTTTTGCATCATTTATTTGGTTTATCGCTTTGCATGATCCATGCATCTCAATACAATGAATTTCTCGTAGATCGAACCCGTATTCAAGTCGTTTTGATTCGTCAAACCTTAATTTACAAATAATTCTGACATCGAATCTTATTGGCTGCGTGATCGCCGTTAAGCTTGATTCATTTGTTCATTTTTTTGGAAGAGTTCATTTCGTTATCAGAGCAATCGACTGTGTTCTCTTAAAAAATCAGTAAAAATATCGATAAATTCTAGATACGAGACACCTTGGGATCAAAAGTACCATGCTCTGCCGCATTGGTTAAGCAATCGTAGCGATGCGACGTCGACATCTGCAATTGACACCGTGTCAACACTGACTGGACCAATGTCGAATCACAATTCAAGATCCACCATCGGAACATGCCATCTGAAACTATCACCAAATCTGACCACTGTTTGCGATCGTCATGATGACAGTGGACTGGAATCTGTGTGAACTGTTCACTGTGATGATTTTATTGCTGATGTCAATATTCGATTGAATACGGAACAGCTCTTGCTAAAACATCAATGGCTCGATGAACTGTAAAAGAATTCATTTATTTGAATCAAGATGACAGTGCCTTCACAAGAGTTGTTTCGTATCCATTGATATTGTTCGCGTTCATCTGTGATCTCTTTTGACTGTCTGTGATCTCGGCCTTCTAACGTATTTTCATTGAAACGAAGTTGTATCTGGATGTGTTGATTGGGATGATGAGCAAAAAGGCATCTTCGTAGAAGGATGAAATAATTTTGTAATGGTAAGAGCGCGTTGAAAGCAGAGTTTTGTTTTTATTAAGGAGCTCAAGAAGGAACGGGATTCTATTCGATATACTTTCTAAACGCTTCACTTCATCTCAAAGAATTCCTCATGAATCTCCCCATTCGTAGCAATTTATGTGCCACGTTCATCGGTGCTGTTATCCCTTGTCCTAGATTCGCATGAATGGTTCACCCCTCAAACAACTGAACTGCCATAACGAATCAAACACAAAGTCGTCATCATGCGAAGTGAAGTCAGAAAGTAGATGTATAAATGTCATATTGTTATTTCGGTGTTGTAAATGAAGTAATTCTATTTCGATTCAAGAGTATCCGTGTAATATTTTCTCGATCGATTCATTGATCGATTGTACATAAAATATGCTTGATAATAAATGTTTTTTTAAACTTAGTTCGATATGTTGCTTTCTCATAATACAATTAATCAGCATACACCAAATGCTTTCGAGGCAAAAAATTCTATCAGTTGCTGTCCTATAATTCAAATTGATCCTGAAATTTGCACATCAAGCAAGTGGAAGATCTCTCTCGAATCTCACTTCGACAGTGTCAATATTGATGAGCATTAAAAACCATCGCACCCTAGGGCAGATCTTGATATTTTGAACTGAACATATTTAGAACACTTGCTACAACAAATGATATCTGATAATGAGGTCATAGAATTGGATGCTGATCATCTTTATTGCTATGAAATGTCCTCAGAATGGATGAGCTGTGTTTTATGGGATCAAGATAAACAAAGATGAACCAATGAACACATCTGGTAGCGGTCCCCTTTGATGCAGTTTCACTTTCGTACCTATCAATCCATTCATCCAATTATATCTCTTCTATCACCTTAAACAGCACAAATGCAATGATCATTCGTCGGTTGTTTATCTATACAAATTCGTAAGTACAGCAAATTGTTTGGAGTTAAAGCTTCGCTGAGTTCTTTCAGTAAGATCTGAAGCATGTTTTCGGTGTTCCGATCATATATTCAGTGTGATTCTTAAAGGATACAACAGATTAGCATACTTTCTCATAGCGATAATGAAACGCTGACTATTAGAATGTATACTAATGAAGATAAAGATATTCAAGATCATATCCAAACATCCAGCGATCAATGATAATGCCCTTTAAATGAAATAGAGATGATACGATAACACTGTTGATGTGGATATTGAAACGAAATTCGGTTGGAAATTGGTTGTTCCGAAAAATTTTTGGACAGGAAAATATTTCTTCTGAGCAGGTGAACATTAGAAAACTAGTAGGACTGCTATTTGTTTCAAATGTTAAGAGAAATCGACGGGAGTATATCGCGCAAACAGATTTGTACTAAATTTAGTTTGATTAGCGGCAGGCGTGTGCTGATCGAAGGGAAGTTTTCATCAGATGGTCATATCGTTTCGCAATTAAATTGAAGTCTTTGTTGGGTATAATGAATTTTATCGCTGTTTCGTAGCAGCGTAATGAAACGGGAATTGCATCGAAATGCTCATAAAACGGAATCGAATGAGGTGAAAACACTTGTCAACATAATCATAAAAACATCGTTTGTGAAATTTTAGCAATATGCGCATAGCAAAACTTGTAAATGCAGTCGTCAAATTTGAGTGTTGAATGAGAAGGGAGATGTTTCGATTGCCCATTTAATTGTAATTTTTAGTTGGTATTGTAAAGTTTTATGAGGTTCATTCACGTAAACAACTGAGCATATGAAGTAAATATTTGCAATTTATTTCACCCTTTATAAAAATATTCCATATGCTGAGAAATTCATAAACATTGTCGCAGTCGGAGTTATTTAGTCGAAGTTGTCATAGTTTTACTCGATCATCAGATTCATATTATGGTTTTTCGAACGTTTTATATCGGCTGAAAAATATCGGACAAGTTTCCGAAGCTTTCACAATTGCTGGTAATGATCAGTGAGAGCTGGAGGTGTGGCCGCGTGGCGCAATGGACAACGCGTCGGTCTACGGAACCGAAGATTGCAGGTTCGACTCCTGCCGCGGTCGAAATTTTTGCACAACGCGCAGATCATTGTATTGGATGATAATGAAGCATGAAACGGAACAATATATTTTCCTTTTTATGGATTTCCCTGTTTACATTCGAGTAATTCTTTCTTTCGTGTTATGATGGCTAGACTCTGTGAATTTCCAAATATGGAGTCTGCGACTGGAAGACAGATATCTCCACGATGTGGAGTATCCGTTCAAAAAGTTATGCAAAATTCCAATCGCTCAAGCTATGCTGCGAGAGAAAATTATCGAAAGCTGACAACGATGAGCTAAAAATGCAAAGTATGTGTGCACTTTATGAACACATTGCAAACCAAAGACGTGAGAATTGTGACAGTTTTATATCCATGTATTATTCTGTATTCCAGGCGAATTGCAGGTTCGAATCCTGCCGTGGTCGAAGATTTTGCTTAATTTTGAGCTATCTTTTACATTGCTAACGCGTCTGATAACCTTTGGAGTGTGAATAAGCAGCCTGCTTGGTTCAACTGAAGCGGAAGGACTGTATTTGTGGCCGCGTGGCGCAATGGACAACGCGTCGGTCTACGGAACCGAAGATTGCAGGTTCGACTCCTGCCGCGGTCGAAATTTTTTGTTTCTACACGAATTATATTTTTGCTGCTTGTTAATCAATTTACTACAGTGATGTTTTATCTGCGATACTACTTTAGCTCGAATTCTTTAGCTCGACTATGCCAAAAATCAATGACAGTTGCGCTCTGGTGACAAATTTAGTTTACTGCAATGCACTACGAAGTTGTGCAATTTGAAAAATTCAACTTTAAGAACATCATTCAATTCAACCTCTCATTTTAGGGCATCCTACCCCTTAAGGTCTGAATTTTAACCGTTCAGGTATCCGCCTATCTGCTCGCTTCTCATTCTCAATGATGCTATCAAATCATCATATTTCCACAATGTTCATAGTAACATTCGATTAACCTGTATGTAGATGACCGATCAAAAATGACGATATTCTTTCCAATTTGCTTGAACCTACTCAATGAAATGCAGCAACGTTTCAAGCATTTTCTCAAGCGAAGTCAATTCACTGAATTGATAGTGTCACCAATAGCTGTCCCCGAGAGTATGTCAACATTCTATTATCATAGCACACCGACGAAGATGTGAATCTGTGAGATTACTGTTCGTGTTAATCCATTTATTCAATTTGAATGGCCAACCTCACTCACACAAATGTATGTGTCCCTCTGATCTCTACGATCATCTCTTATCATACCGCTAAACCATTTCCTATCCATTGTTCACCAAATCAGTGACGATGCACCTGAATTGTTCGAGAATTTCCAAGAGAATTCTACATTAGTCGGCGTACTCTCAAAAGAATTCGCACACTGGATGGCTAAAACAATGCTTTTATCATATATTCATTGCAACATTTCGGAAACAGTAGCTGCGCTAAACTTTTTGGAATTAATACGTTAACGATCACCATTCAGACTCTTCAGAAGTTCTTTTGTCAACTTAATGAATTAAATTATGCATCGATTTGAAAGTTACAAATGAATGATGACGCTGAATGCATATCAACGATCAAACAACAACTATAAAAAGTGTCGCATTTGTTTTGAATAAATGACGGACGGACTCGAGCCGATAGCATCGAAGATGTTAGATAAGAATCTTTCTGTATTCTGACAGTGGCAACTGTTTTGTTGATGTTTTTAAACTGATGTTTGTGATGCACTTCGCATCTAAAACAGATCTGGAGCCACACTCACCAAGGTTACAAGTGTTGAACACAGATGAAATATAAGTGGTAAGGCAGGTTTGGAAGGATTTGTGTGTATGCGAACAATCAAGCAATTCATCATTACTTCATATGTTCTGATCAATTAACTGCTGAGCACAAGCCGAATATAAACTATGGAAATGTTCTTAACTAAATTGAATCTGCCTAATTTGCACCATCGAGTTTCTCTGATTTTTCCAACTTCAGCTGTAGAATGCGATCTGCTCCACCCATTTCTCGAGTAAATTCAAGACCGATGATCAACCGAACAGTTATTATTTTCCGAATCCGTTTCAGTCTAAAACAAAAGAACTCAAGTGATTATCGCTACTGCTCTCACGATGATACAGGAACAGTTCAACTGAACTTTGCCTCAAACCAATTGGATAATCTCATATGGTGCGCTCGCAAGATAACGAATGCCTTTCGCAGGTTATCTTATCTTGGATATTACCTCAGATTTGTTCACACCTTCACTACTCGTTCATTTCTTCCATAATAATTCATTATCTCGCAGATCATTCACCTTCGAACGTGTGAACGAACACTTTGAACACGCATGGGAATTTATTCAGGAGGATTGAATTGTTTTACTGCATCAAACCGAGGTGATCGTATATAAATGTACGCCTATTCAAATTATAAATCTTAGAATGTTCTTCATTTGGGCAATTTCTTCGATGATACTCGTGATGCTCAAGTGTTTGCGCTTGTTTGTATGGGCGCGTTGAGTGCACACTCGATTACTCTTCATTTTAATTATTGTCAGACGTATATTTCATATTTTCCATTTTCATATTCAATTTTTTGTTGGTACTTTTGAATTGGTTCTCTCCATCTCAATATGTAGCGAATATTTCGGCTTGAAATTTGCAACGGCTGTCATTGGTTCACTTCTCGTTTTTTGTTCCGAGTATTGATGAGTTTCAGTTCGGTGAGCCGCCCGCTTTCATACTTCATGGGAAGCTAGCATATCAGTCGGAATACGTGAGCAACCTATCGTGGTTCACTTGTTGCTTCGGCTTATTTAATTTTAATTCAAGTGCGCCATTTAGATTACATAAAAGCGCATCAACGAACCGATCAAAGTGATCGATTTCTTGATCAGTTCAGTTCAAAAATTTCGGATCATTTTTGATCCATTGATATTCGTGTAGATCGACGATCACAGCGCAGTATCGGTTTATTAGAATCATCTACTAGCTCATGAACGATGGCCGCCACTTCCATCCATTTAACATCGGTAATTAATTAATCGCTTTTCTTGTAGACTCACACTCGTAGCAGTTTAAAACAAAAGCAAAAACAAGACAATAAAACCAGTCTTTTTGTGAGGAAAGCGAGTGGTGTGCAGCGGGAAAACATCTTTTGCACTGTTTTTGTTGTGAGGCCATTGAAAAAGTTTTATTCAAGTTGTTTTATTGCAAAAAGACGACGAATATAATTGGTATCGGTGCAGATGCGACGACGAATAATGATGCCGAAGATGTTTAAACGATAGTGAACGTAAAAGATAGGCGGCGATATGAAATTGAATTTTAAACAAAACAGAACAGCACCAACAACAATAACCATAACAATACAACAACAAGAACAGCCTTAAACATTTTAAAAATAAATCTTATTTTGAGTAACTTATTCGACATCGTCCATTCAGTTCATTCACTTCTTTCTTCAGTTATTCATTCAGCCTTCATTTGTTTCTTCTTATACTTTATGTGTTTGTTACACACCCACAAACCAATACAGTACAATTGGTTCTTCAGCAGCGATAACAAGAGAACAGCATTGAAATTGAAGTTGAAATTGATATCAATTCACTGGTTTTATTTTGAGTGTTCGCTGGCTCCTCCTTGTCATCAAGGTTGTAGGATCATCGTAAGATGGATGCTTCTTCTTAAAGAACTGTGTTGTAAACGAAGATAGAAATGATCATAATGAAATGTTAGTGTTTTACTGAGAAGTGATGATGTGAAGAGGCAAATTGGGAGAGTGAATGACGACTCTTTATTCTTTCAAGCATCATCATCCATCTTGAACAGATCCATTTAGAAACATTATTAATCGTCTTCTTTCGATTTCAAATCGGTCGAATCAGCGGCATTGCGGCGATCATGGCGACGCTTTCGGATCAGATAAGGTGGAAAAATGAGCACAAAAAGATAACCATTGAATTAGAAAAACGATGCGATTCGTTCGTATTTCTAATGGTGCCCATTTGAAGCAGATTGCTTATTCTTTTGAAAACGAATTCAATTTATTTTATTACTTCTTCATTACATACAATTACTATTATTAATACATGTCAGAATTCGAAACTGCAAATGTTCATTTGCCACTTGAACATGAATAGATGCGAAACTCTTCAGTCTGCTGTGCTTATTAACGACGATGTTGAGTGATGGTTTTGTATTTCGTTGTTTCATTGAAAATGCACCTCTTTTGGTCTTTAGAGTTTCAGTGTTTCGAATGAAGCATTTCATAAGTGTTGTTCATTACAATTACTGCAAATATCTTACTTATCAGCGAGCAACTCTGCCATCATTTCTCATTTGTTTGGTTGTTTTAGTAGGTTGTTGTTAATTGCTTTTGAGTAATTTCGTTTACTTACGGAAAAATTTTTTGCTCGCTACCTACAAGCTGCTAGAATTTCGAGTCGACTCTACGCGCTTCTTTTTGCGTTCGTTGTTAGAAGGAATTGCTTAGAGGAGTCTCCGATGTTTAAATTTGAGAGGTTAATATAGCGAGCGATACGCTGTGAACTGCAATCGAGAGATCATTTCGATATTTTCATGTAGATAGATAATTCTTTCATGGTAGCAACTAAACATCATTGCTCATATTCATAACGGTTTGAATATCATTACCGATGCATAATTCTCGACAATGAGCACCATACGAGATTTACATATCCATCACAATCACTCTAACAATAAATAATATACCTAATTATTTATTGTTTCTGTTCTGAATTTGGGCAATAATCTCAAGGCGCTTGCGTTCCCACTCCACAGTTCTCCATAACTTCCCACTTGCATTCGATAATCTATTTTGCTTGAAAGATGGATACTTGCTGTGAGAACTTCTGCATTATATTCTCATCGCTAGTCAAATTGATAAAAATTGAAGTTTTGAAGTGCTTTGAAGTATCATCATGAAGTCTTTTTCCCACTGAACTCTCTCAAATTCTGGAGTGACAAATCACAAAAAAAAACCACGAAAAACTGAAACGATAGCGATTGCGCATTCGTGCAATTATAAGATGAAGGTCAATATTGTGTGATTGTGTTAAGTCGATAATGAATGGTGTTATGCGTGTTATAAGAAACGATCTCAGTAATAATTTTGCTTGTTGATGATGTTCGTGCCGTAGATTATAATCTGATAATGAATGAAGAAGTGTATCCATTGTCAAGATATTTATCTCATCTACGCCATAAGAACAACCTATAGTATGAATCTCGATAAACTCGTTCATCATCACATCTCGTCACACCACAACTGCTGATAATCGTGGCTTGTGTGTCGACATTTCACTCATCATTATGGCACATAATTATTTAATCGTGATTTTATCAGCACTCTTTCAATCGCCATTTTCATTTCGTTTCACCTATTCAATAGTCCAAAACAATATAATCCACCGAGTGGGCAGTCATACATCTGTTGTTGTTAGTGATATAAAACTGGACAATTTAGTAGAATCTTTCTGAATTGAAGTTCAAAGTCGATTCCTTGAAAAGGAGTTAAATTTAAGTTAACAACTGGACATTAAGTTGAATATTCAAAATTTTCTTTACATGAAAAAAAAGAATTATCTTGTTTTGGGGTTCGTAAACTCTGGAGACAATCATCATAATTGAGTTTTTCCTGCATTCGAATACGAATTCGAATGTTTTCAGTCTCTTCTCTTCCTTTGCATGTTTTCGTTGCAACCGTTGACAGTCACTGACTTTGATTTGGTGCAGTTTCGATGTAGAAAGTGCGATAAGAATTTGTGAGAAAACTAAAAAATTACTACTTAGGGACATTTGAAGAAATTGTTTTGCATAAAGCATAATTTGTTTTAACGATCTGCGAAACTGTTCGAATACGTTATTGTTGTAGTGATTGATGGTGTGATCGATCATTCACTGACGATTATCAATGTTGTTTAAGGATTAGCTCCAGATGATGAATCTTCAAATGCTGTTGTACTCTGTTGTAATTTGTTCATTACTGCATAATATTATTTTGGTCATTGCCAATTCACAAGATCACAATAA